TCTAGCTCAATGGTCACCCATTGTTTTGATGGGTGTTGTGCGTGCCAGTCCGTCAGTCTGTGCAGGTGAGCGGCGCGGTAATATGTCTCTATGGAGGGCAGTCCCGTGCCCCCCATCAGTTTTGGTAGTTCCAGGGTTGATTTTTTTATTCGGGTTGGGCGAGAGTTCCAGACGAACCTGCGAATGGCAGTCGTCATAGAGCTAAAAAAGGCTCTGGGGAGAGTAATTGGCACTGTTTGGAGTAGGTAGAGTATCCTGGGTAGCACGTTCATTTTAATCGCATTGATACGTCCGAACCAGGAGATGTAATATGGGGTCCATTTCTTAAGGTCCGTCTGAAGTGAGAGTAGGAGGGGGAGATAGTTATGGCGGTATAATTGGGACGGGTCTTTGGTCAGCCATATGCCCAAATATTTTAATTTAGTTTCGCACCATTTAAACTTGTATTGGGTGTGAAGGTGTGTTGGGGGGCCTGTAGGGGGTGGGAGGTGGAGAGCCTCGGACTTATGCGTATTAAGTTTAAGATTAGAGAGTGCCCCAAACTCTCGGAAAGATGCTAGGAGGTTGGGCAGCGAGATCAACGGCTGTGTAAGAAAGAACAGCATATCGTCTGCATATGCGGCTACCCGGTATTCGTGGCGACCAAGGTCAAATCCAGAGATTCCCCCATTCCGTCTGACCGCCCCCAGGAATGGTTCCAGGGAGAGGGCAAACAGGAGGGGGGAGAGCGGGCATCCCTGGCGGGTGCCATTCCTGATAGGGAAAGGGGCTGAAAGTGCCCCGTTAATGCGGATCCTCGCAGTGGGGCACGTGTACAGTGAGAGCACCCAGGCCAGCATGTTGGGGCCGAATCCCATGTGTGTAAGGGTACTCCTCAGATACGCCCAGCTCACCCTGTCAAAAGCCTTTTCGGCATCGGTGGAAAGTAGTAGTAGTTCTCTACGGCGCGCTCGTGCTATGTGTAGGATGTTCAAGGCCTTAATCGTGTTGTCTCTCCCTTCCCTACCCGGGATAAACCCCACTTGATCCGAATGTACCAAGTGGGGGAGGTGTTTTGCGACTCTCAGGGCAATGGCTTTTGCGAATAGTTTCAGGTCCGCGTTTAGTAGCGATATGGGGCGGTAGCTCGCGCAATTCGTCGGGTCCTTGCCCTCTTTTGGTATTACAGTAACTATGGCTGCTAACGTGTCTGGGGGAAAGCGCCCCCCCTCCAGTATGGAGTTGAGGCCCAGTAAGAGATTTGGTAATAAGATGTCCCTGAACGTACGTAAGTACATCAGGGGCAGTCCGTCAGGTCCAGGGGCCTTATGGGTTTTGGAGATTTTTAGGGCTGCCGCCAGCTCCTCCATGGTGAGGGGTTGGTCTAGGTCGTCCCGCATTTCCGCGGTCAGCTTGTTATCTATATTTTGTTCCAGGAATTCAGTAATTTGGCGGGTCTGTCGTGCGCGGGCAGCGTCAGTGTTAGGTTGGGGGATATTGTATAGGTCCGTGTAGTAGTCTACGAACGCACGCTGAATTCCATCCGGCATTCGGGTTTCAGCTTTGTCACTGGGCTTAATTTTGTGTATGTGGCTCGCCATCCGACGGTCACGGAGCTGGCGGGCTAGCAGTCTGCCACTTTTGTCCGAGTGCTCGAAAAAGAACCGGGCCGATTTTCTAAGGGTGCGTAGGAGACCCTGAGCTAATATGTCCCTTCTCTGTCTCCGGAGCGCTGTTAGATGGAGGAACGTGTCTTCGTCCTGACTTTGTTTATGAGCTTGCTCTAGGTTGGCTATTTGAGTGTTTAATGTTATCAGCTTTCGTGTATGTTCTTTCTTCCGTTGTGTACAGACCTTAATATAGTGTCCCCGTACTACACACTTATGTGCTTCCCATACCGTCAAGGGCGAGACATCGGGGGTTGTGTTAGTGTCGAAGTATTGTGTTAGAGTTTGCCTAACCGGGTCAGTGTCACCCAGGTTAAGCAGCATATTCTCATTTAGCTTCCAATGCCTTTCCGCTGGTTTGTGTAGTGGGGATTGGATCTGGGCTGAGACCGGGGCATGATCGGACTCCACAATCAGGCCTATGCTAGCCATGCGGAGTAGTGTCAGGGCTTCCTGTGCCATAAAGATATAGTCAATCCGACTGTATCTCTGGTGTACAGCTGAGAAATAGGAATAGTCCCTGCCATCAGGATGCGCCGCCCTCCAGCAATCCACTAGTCCACTCCTTGTCAGAGCTCTCCCGACTGCGCGTATGCAATGACCTGGTATTGAGCTTTCTCCCCTTGAGGTGTCTAATCTGGCATCTAACGGAGTGTTAAGATCTCCTGCCATAATTAGTAAGCCCTCTCTGAACTTGTTGAGCAAAGTGAGTGTTTTATTTAGGAAGACATGTTGGTTACGGTTCGGTGCATAGAGGCATGCGAATGTGTAGGGCTGTTGTGCTATGGTTCCTTTAATGAATAAGTATCTACCGCCTGGATCTATTCGTTGCTCTGTGCATACGAACGGGACCGTATATGAAAAGAGGATCGCCACCCCCGCTTTTTTTTGGTCGGTATGGTTGGAGTAATAACCTGTGGGGAACCTTCTGTTTTTCAGGGTGGGTGCCTCTACTCCTTTAAGATGCGTTTCCTGCAAGAACGCCACCGAGATGCGTTCCGCCCAAAGAGTACTGAGTAGCTGAGACCGCTTCTCGGGTACGTTTAGACCTCTAACGTTGTTCGACCACAGGTTAAGCGGTGCCGGCACATAGTTAGTGCCCATCCCTAGCTGTGCGTGGGAAGGGGTATGGGTATGTCAGAGTATCACGGGGTAAGGTTCGGGGGGGGGAAGTAGGGTAGTCCAGTCAAAGTCAGGGCAGGTTAGTGGGTCGGGATCTAGGTGACTACGACTCGCCTCGGGGTCAGTCGCTTCCCAGTGTCTATTCCCTTCGGGGTATGTCACCAGAGTAGCCCCCGAGGGTTTGTACAGTGTGAGTCTGTCACGTGAGGTACGTGGGTCGTCCGTTCTTGGGTGAACCGTCGCCTGGATCGCACTGCTCTCACGGCACCCAGCCCACTGTATTTGTTTAATTGGAATTTTCCCTGTGGGTATGGTGAAGTAGTACGAGGGTACCCCCTCCCATTATCCCTTTTCCTCTCTGTTCTTGAGGGTCTGAGTATTGCGTGTCTAGTCGGTAATCGGGCCCTGTAATTACCTAACGGGTCCGGCCTCCCAGGGTGTACCCGCCCCAGCCTAGCCCCTTTGGCTTCGTGGGTACAGGCGTGTTACCCGCCCCCTTGTGTAGGTGTGTGCCCCCCTAGGAGTGGTATAATGCATGTGAACTTAATCAATAACAATAACAATAACAAGTACAACTGTAAAGACCAGACCACCGCCTCTGGCGTTCCCCGCTCCCCCCTCCCAAGGAACCATACCCCCCTCCTCTGCTCCCTATTCCAGCTGGGGGAAGTGGAGTCTTCTCCTGCCTGTTGGCTTGCTAGTCCCTTCTGGGGATGGGCGGAGCTTGGGTCTCGGGGCCCTCTGGGTCATCATGGGACTGTCCAGATTTTATCCTGTGGTGCCATTCAAGTAGTTGGAGTCCGCCAATGCCTCCCCTCTACCCCAACCACCCAAAAAGGGGGGGATTCTATGGGCCAGAGCCCGAGTCTGTACAAATTTGGGGGGGGATCCCCTCCGTGTCATCATCGTCTCCGGGTGGTACCCGATCCCCATAAATCCCACCACCCCAAGAAATATGTGGCCCTCCATAGTCTCAAGTCCCTGCCACACTGACTTGTGCGTAACTGCTACGGGCCCAGGGTAGGGGTGTAAGTACATACCCAGCGTTGTGTCAGCTTCTGCTTACGGAGGTTGTTTCTTCGCATCAACCTTGGGGGAGCGGTCCGGTGGTCCGTTTCACTGCGGCGTGGTTTCTGGGGTTGAATGGGGGTGTGAAAACTGGGGTATTCCTCCGTCGGTGGGTGCACCGGTCGCTGCCCCCTAGGGCTCTTGAATCTGCTATTCTTCATGGCTATCCGGGCCACCTCTGCGGAACCCGGTTCCTGTAAGGCCCGTACCCGGCCTGATATTTGGAGCGTTTGGGCGTTGCGGCTGTCTCTCCAGGACCCAATTTGGGACTGCCACCGCTGGGAGGTTCGCGGCTCGGAGGAAGCGTGGCACGTCGGCTGGCCAGCGTATGATATGCCATATGTTGCTCACCTTTGCCTGTAAGCTAAAGGGGAATCCCCATTTGTATTGTATCCGCCGTTCTCTAAGGAGGGTGGTTAGCGGTCTCAGTGCCCTTCTCGCTTCCAGGGTGAGTACTGAGAGATCCTGATATAGGGAAATCTGGGCGTCCATGTAGGTGAGGTTCTGTTGGTTTCTCGCTTCCCTCATGATCTCGTCCTTTAACGAGTAGGAGAGCAGGTAGCAGATTACGTCTCTAGGCGGTCCCTCCGCGGACACGGGGCGCAGGGCTCTGTGTGCACGTTCTATTCCAAAGTCTGCAGGGGCCCTGTCCCCTAGTATGTGTGTGAACAGACCCAGCAGGAGCTCTGGTAGTGCTTCCCCTGCTGTTTCAGGGAGTCCCCTGACGCGGATGTTGTTCCTCCGTCCGCGGTTGTCCAAATCTTCCAGATTCCTTCTTAACTCCAGCAGGACATTGCCTTGTCTAGTAGTGGCTGTGTCTGTGGCTTGGCGGTGTTGTATTATTTGGGTACGTTCTGCCTCTAGTTCCTCTACCCTGCGTTCCAGTGCTGTCAGGTCTCTCCTCACCT